GCACTGCACTTTTATAGTATACAGTTTAGCAATTTTGATACATATCTATTCACAGGGTTGTGGAAACATCACAATTTTAGAACATTTTCATCATAGCACAAAGAAACCTGTGCCCTTAAGCCAACACCCACCCCACCTTTGGCCCACTCCAAAAAGATGTATTCATGTATTGAGACATGCTTTCTAAGTTTAAATAATTGGCTCTTGGAGCCAGTGCTGTGGTACAGCAGGCTAAGCTACCGCTTGCGACTCTAGCATCTCATATCAGAGCACTGATTGGAGTCCCTCCCAGTTGCTCTGCTTCTGCTCCAGCTCCCTGATAAATGTGCCTGGGGAAGCAAAAGAAGATGGCCCAACTTCTCAGGCCCTTTCCATGCATGTGGGAGACCTGGATGGAATTCAGGTTTCTGGCATCTGCCTGGGCCAGCCTTGGCCTTTGTGGCCGTTTGGGAAGTGAACCAATGGATGGAAGATTCCCCCCCCCAACCCCCCCGCTTCCATCCCTCTCTCCTTTCCCCTCTCTCCCTCCCTCTAACTCTGTCACTCTATCAAATAAATAAAACCTTTAAAAAAAAAAAAAAACCTGTGTTGTTTTTGAAGTTGTATACAGGGAAAATAATGACAAAACATTAAGTTTTTTTTAAAATGAAAGATTAAAATGAAAGCAAAAAGAAGGAAAAAGCAGACGTAGTCTTTTGAAAGTTCATACTTTTAGAATAAAAGCCCTTTTCTTGGTTAAGTTTTAACTCTTTACATGTGGATGAGAAGATGAAATTGTGTTTCCTTAAATTGTTACGAAGCATCTGGTATCATTAGATGCCCCTACTCTTTGTGGAATTGGGTTCTTAATCATTTTGTGCCTGAAACTTAAATTTTGTGGGCTATTGCAGGTCTGTTTTCTTTCTGTTGCCCAAGCCCCATCCACAGTAAAAGAAAACAAAAACAACCCTTTGTTTGATGTTTGAACTTCTTTATTTTTATTGTTGCCCTAAAACTTTTCTCCTAAATTTTAGATTCTTTATACTTCAGAGGAAATTTGATATAACCTAATCTTAAATTTATCCTTATCTCCTTTCAAATATTTTGAAATGGCTAATAGGAAAAAAGTATATGTAATACAACTTGAAGGAGGAATAACTAATTATCTTAGTTGTGTGGGGACTCATGGCAAGAAGTTCCTAATGATGGAGAAAGAAGCATACCAGTTTACCAAGAGAAGAAAAATCAGAGGCAGAGGGTGTGTGCATGTGTGAGAAAGCTCTGCAGAGGGACAAGCGTAAGTTTATAGCACCTTTGAGAAACGGAGATCCAGTGTGGAGATCCAGTGTGCGAGATGCCTAGGAAGTGAACTAGATAAAGTAAAACTTTATCATTTATCTCCCAGTCATTACTGGGAGAAAGCATTGAATTTTGGTATTTTATCTTAAGAGCAATGTGAAGGAATTGAAAACCTTTAAGGGGGATGATTTGATCTGGTTTGCTCTGGGGAAGGGGACAGATACCAAAAACTAGCATAGACAGCTCAGTCAGATGATGCTGTTGACATTTTCTGGGCTGTTGGTCTGTCTCTCTCTCTCTCTCTCAAGTTACCTATCTATGTATCTAGCAGGAAGTGGGATGGGGAATGGAGACCAGGCACTCCGGTGTGGGATGTGGGCATCCCCAACAGCATCTTTACCCACTGTTCTGTAGGCCCATCTCTTCTAGTAGACTCATGATACTTCATTAGCTAGAGGCAGAGCCATTCATTCCACAACTAACAATAAATGACTTTACAGACAGATGGTGGGCTGGGGAGCATTTTAAGACTTGTCTATGCAGCCTAAGATAAGTAAAGAAAGGTATCAGCAATTTATCAGCCATTAGCCATAATTTTAAAATTTGATTACAAAGGAATAAAATACATTGATTTTAAGTTAAAAGGGAGAGTTTATAAGAAACGAAGATAAGAACCCAATTATATGAAGGATCTTCAAAAAGTTTGTGCAGAGTGATTATTATGAAAAACTGAATGGTTTTCAGAGCATTTTTTACATTAAAATAAACTTAGCTTTTAATCTCATTTTCCATGAATTTCTTAAAGCACCCACATACTTATTTTCACCTAAGATTGAGTTAAAAATGACAGAAGTTCTCTATATAAGATGGTATTTTTCCATGTGTGACTATTGATGCATGTTGCTCCATTTTCTGAGTTACATAGAAGTTTTATTAAAAATATATATAAACACAACACTTGAAAATACTTCAGAATGCTGCTTTAAAGATGCCCTTGTTTTGTATAAAATTTGCTGTTTTTAATTCTCATGTCTCCTAGCAAAGTGTCTTCAAAATGGTACCTGTTTTTTTCCAAGGCACGCAGCCATATCACTGCAGTGTCTGCTGGGTATCTCAGAACAAACACAAACATTTAATGAAGGCCAGAGTACGACACCCCCAGTTTGGATCCCGATACACGCAATCCCTCATCAGACCGATTTCCAGAAAGTGCAAAAATGAAAACAGTCTTTAAGCAAACTAATTTTCGCACTTAGTCCTAAGAAAAAAATTTCTGAGATGGGTAGTATTCCCTTTATAAATGGCCCTGGAAGTAGCTGCTAGTAGTAATACTAATGTGAAAAGCATGAATGCTAAGGGTCTGCTGTAGTATTTACACATAATAATAAAGTGCAGTAATTCTGACAGTCTAGGTAGTCATTTTGCCCAAGGTTTCTGCATTTCTCCTCTCATAGCAAACACCTCATTGTACAGAAAATTCAGGTTGGGGGAAGCATGAAAGGTGGCAATGGTTGTTCTGCACACTGCGTTGAGGTTAATATATATTGATAACTTTTAACCTCTTCAGTTCATGCTTTCCTTTGGGACCCACTCTATCCCTAACCCTAGTATTTAATGTGGGTAACTTAAAGAGAAACGGCTTTGGAGCATCAGTACTAGTCTTAAAAAATGAGTTAGGCTGAAGTCATCTTCTTAGTGAATTCACCCAGCCTGGACAATGAACATTCTTTCCTATCTTCTCCCCTTCTCTCCTAAGTGAAGAAATAGTTAAATGGTATCACTATGAAGCAGGAAGTGCTGTTAGCCTTGTGCATGGGGTGGAATGAATAATTTAGTATCTTCGGGAAATGCAAACTGCAGTATAATTCAAGCAAGTTTTATCAGAACTTAGATCGATATTATACATGATAATATGAAGTGAAAATCAGTGGGAAGAAGATGCTTAAAGATACCAAGGGCAATAACGTTGCTTAATAGTTTAAATTGTGAGAAAGATTGGGATTGGGCGATTGTTTTGTCTTGCGCAGTGATAATGGTTTACCTGCATTCTGACAATTGTCAGATGACTTTTTGCTAAAGTGATTGGTAATGGGATGTGGCAGTTACTTTGCTGTCAGAGACGAGATAATTTCTCAGGTTTTTCTTGTAAGTTTTAAAAATTGTCCTTAAATTTTTTTTCCTCTTGAAATACGGATTTAAGGAACTGAAAGATACAACCTGCAGACTAGGCATGTTTCTTTGTTTGCTAAAGGTTTTATGAAAGTAGCCATTCACAAACATTGGTAAGACTTAAAAAAAAAAAATTTAAGTTTAAGTTATAGTTATTGAAATTTTTCAAAATTGTATTCTTTGGAATGATAGCAGCTTGGGAGACTTCATATGTATGTCCTTACTGTTAACATTGTGCATGCAACTTAATCATAGGCTGGGTGGTTGGAAGTACTTAGCAAAGATTGACATTTATTAGACTTTATTTATTTTGTCTGTGCTTGCAGATACCAGCTGTATGTAATATTTTAAAAATAAGACTTGAATGTCATTGAATTATGTTAAAAATAATTTCTAACAATAAAATACTTTTTTGAATACTTAAGACTTACTACCATTTCACATATGTATTCTTAAAATATAAATTGGTTGGGTTCTGATTCTACTCAAACTTTTTTAGTTGGAATGAGTGGTATTATTTAAAAAATACAGTTTTAGGAGAAACCTAAAAAACTGTCTTGTTTGCCTTTCTTTCTCTGATCTTTCTTAAGCCAGTATGTTTTTAACCCGTTAACTGTTTCTTGGTTAATATAGATGGAAAAAGAAAATTTTTCCCATGCTGAAAGGAATTTCTTTAGGATTTTACAGAAAGTTATTGATGTAAAACTTTGGATGTCACTAACAGTAAACCAAATGTATTTTCCTTTGTTTTTTTGCCATCTCAATTTTGAGTGTTACTTTGATTTTGCATAAGCCGTTCCCTTTCTCATAAATTAACAGCTTCTCCTCTTGAGTTTTTTCGCCCATAAAGACTTTAGTTCATTGCTACAAGCTAAATTTTAATATAGTAATTTTTAAAATAGCCTGAATTAAAGGCTATTTGATGTGGCCACTCATTTTTGTAAGATATTTTATAAAGTATGTATGCATATTGAGAAAAAAATAGTAAAATGTTGGCTTGCTAAAACAATATTTTTTTCAAAGTACAAAACAAAGATACTCTTATTTTTATTTTATTAATTGCAGGAGACTGTTAATAATGTCTCTGAACTTTCCTAATTAGAAATGAGTTCATCTCATGTGACCTCAAGCGTGTCCCATAAATTTTTTCAGATGCAGTTTGCCTATGAAAGGGTAGATCTCATGAAATTGACTGTACTGGCCTTAGAACTTGACTTCTTATATCTCATCTACATTAACTTTTAGGAAATATAACCCTAAAATGCATATTATAGTCTTTGTATAACTCCAGAGATAATTAAAATAGAAGTGCATCATTCGAACTATGGCTTATTGTAGGGTTTTTCCATAAGTAAGATTACATTACAAAATTTTAAGAACTAATGTTAAAGAGGATACGTTTTTATTAAATTGCAGAACTTCCAGGATGAGGATCTAGATAGGACGTATGTATAAATACATTTTGAACATTTCAAAGCACCTTTTAGTTTGTGTGAAGTTCTGCAGATGGCCCCATTGTCTGAAAGCTTCTAACACCAAGGTGTCTGTTGCAGCCCAGAGCAAGGTTACTGCTACCCAGGACAGCACTAATTTGCGATGTATTTTCTGTGGTAAGCAACATTATGTTTACATTACTTTTTCAAGCTGTGGTACATACTTCTTGCACATTTCCATAACTTTTGTTTTCTTAGGCCATGGTCTGGTTTTTGGTATTTGGGATATATAGCAAGCTATTGTTTTTATGTTGTGATATTTGTTGTGGTTCATGTAGGTGATTTGGTCAGCTTTTGAGTTGGCTTGTTACTGGGATTTAGTTAGAATTAGGATCTTAAAACTATTTTTGTCTACTTCTTCCAATGCAAATGAGAGGGGGGTTTTTTGTTCATTTTTGTTTTAACGATTTTTTGGGGGAGCAAACTTAACTAAGAATTTAGGATAAACTTTATATTCATCTTAATATGATTTGAGGAATGTAACTTATTCAAAGGGAATGTTTGCTTAACTTGAGTTAATTTTAGGTGTACATACTATGAGGCAGATATAAGCTATTACTTGCTTCAGTAGGTTGATTTCTCATTGATGGCCTCCTTTATTCAGTAGGTTAGATATCTTTGGCTTAGTGAATTTAAGTTTATAGAGTATTTTTGTTTATACTCATATATACATATGTGTGTATTTATGTATTATTTTCATGGATAAATAGATGTGTCACTTAGCTACCCCAAATTATAATCAGATACATACATATGCTTATTCTCACACAAGGAGATACATAGATAAGCTATATATTGATACATACATATATGTGTGTATATATATATATAGAGAGAGAGAGAGAGAAGGTACCTTGTGCAAATTTAAGTGTCAAAAAATGACTTAATTATTGGAGCCCCACTCCCATCCCCACCCTCCTGCTTATGGACTTATATGTACCCTTTTGACCCATGTATACCTTGACTAGCCAGAATATTTCATGAAAGGAAGTTGTAAAATGCCATATTGCTGAAATTTTATATAAATAGTTCAGCTATATATGTGTGGTTCAGAATTTTTAATGTGATCCCTCAGTATTACTGATTTTATTTATAGAGTTATAAAATGTGTATACTTACTGGTTGAGGCAAAGAAACATTTGTTGGAAGAAAAGAAAATCCTGAGATATTTCTTCCTCACCTGAAGTTAGATTTTAGGAGTGTTACAGGTGACACAGTTACAGCAGTGAGCCTATTGTTGGGCTTCTTGAAGTCCTAGATTTTCACTGATAAACATTATTTAATCAGTAACTTTGATTCCTGATTTTTCTGGCTCCTCCTGGGGATTCTTCCAGGCAATCTTTTGAAGCAGCCATGAATGATTATTGATATTTGTGTTATTTAGGGCTCTCTAGCTCATTTTGGAAACCTACTTAATGCTTTGTACTTTCCTAAGGAAAGAATATGTTGAGGTCCACATGCCAAATAATAGTTTGCCCAATTGCAGAGAAAAGATTGATTTGGCCCTAATCGTGTCAAATTTTAAAGTTGTAAAAGTAGATTTTCCCCATTATTATCTTTAACTGTACAAACAGTATAATTACCACATTGCTAAGTTAAAACTTGACTGTATTGTGTACCTACTTGTCTTTTAGTCTTGTGTTTTTAAATAGTCTGTGGCTAAGTGTGAAAGATTTGTGAAGATAGAAATATGACATTGAAATGTGCTTTAACCAAAAATTCGGTACTGAAGGCAAGACTGAAATGCCGTATCTGTTTTAGAGATTCTAATCTGATTTCTTTCATTTATAGGATACTGTATTTGTAACATTTCCACTTTTTTTTTTTTATTAGAAGCAGTAATTCACAAACTTTGCTATATACCTTTTCTTCTCGCCAAGACAAATTAAGACCTACCAATGTCTTTGGCTATAACAAGACAGGGAAAAAACTAACTCTCAAACAGCAACAGAGTAGGTTTTCTCATTTCTTATCCTTGGTTGTTTGTTGTTTTTTCCCTAAAAGAGCCATTAACCCCCACATGATGCTTATAAGCCATTGTCATTTGCCAACTAAAATGGTTATGGAAATGCCTGTTTTGTATTTTATGAAAACATAAAATATAGAAAACATAGAAATATGATCTATGTGAAGTAATAGTTAAATTCTAGGAAATACGGCAGCACCTGACTGCCTTGCTCAATAGTTGCCGCTTCCTGTCGTACGTGGTGCCTTTGGTGTTATTTGCCAGTTGACTAACTTGTTAGAATGTTTGACAAGAAGGAAATGTGATCATGTACTGGAACCTCATGATTTATATGAAACTTGTTAATTGTTATAGTATGTTTATAATTTTTAAGTGCACATTAATTTCAGTGTGCTAGCTATTGCAATGCACTTGCACATATTGATGAAGAAACAAACAGAAAATGCCAAGGGGAGGGATTCTATTCCTTCTCCCAATTTGTAGAGTTCCTGGAAAGACAAGTGATCCATGTGACAAGGAAGTCAGGAGGGTTGCTCTTGGATCAACATTTTCCCCATTTTAAAAGAGTAATCCCGAACTTTCTCCGCTGCATGAATAAGCTGTAGTAAATTATTTTTATTATTAATAGTAAGATTCAAAACATTTCCCCCACATTTGAAAGACCTCTTTTCTAGATAGGTTTGCCAAGAAAGCTTGCTAAATAAAAGACTTAAAAATTTCAGTATATTTTGCGAGTTACATCAAACCTTTTTTTTTTTTTAAGATTTATTTATTTATTCAAAAGTCATAGTTACACAGAGGAGTGGTAGAGAGAGAGAGAGAGGTCTTCCATCCGGTGGTTCACTCTCTAATGGGCCATAACGGCCAAAGCTGCGCTGATCCAAAGTCAGGAGCCAGGAGCTTCTTCCAGGTCTCCCCACGTGGGTGCAAGGGCCCAAGGACTTGGGCCATCTTGTACTGCTTTCCCAGGCCATAGCACAGAGTTGGATCGGAAGTGGAGCAGCTGGGTCTCGAACCAGCACTCATATGGAATGCCAGCACTTCAGGTCAGGGTGTTAACCTGCTGCGCCACAGCGCTGACCCAAATTTTTTTTGTTTTTTTTTTTGTTTTTTGTTTTGTTTTGTTTTTTAAGCTATTTAGTAAAATCAGTAGGATTGAGTTGAAATGTTGGCATCTTTTTCTTGAATTTATATATTTCTGAGTTAAAACCTAGATTTTAATGGAGGAACTTAATCTATTACTACAACCCTTGAGATATCAGACCTGTCCTGGATGTGACTGGTGCAGCTGCATCCCTCTTTGAGATGGATGACAAACAGGGCTAACACTGACATACAGGTGTTTCACACGTAAGCAGCCTGGGTTTTTCACTAACGTACTCAAATATTTAAAAAATAGTTGAACCATAATGGTCTTGTGAGTTACTTATCTAAATACTTGCTTTTAATAGTTTTGTATAAATACAAATTTAGATATAGAAAAGTACATTCCCCAAGTACTTTATCCTTTCTCAAATTTACCCTGCTATTTTATGTATCCCATTCTTCTGCTGGAACAGAGATCTTTTCCCTAAAAAACATGAAACATTAGTGCATGACCCTAATAGGACAGTCTGTTTTTACATCATTATGTTAATTTCCCAGGGAAAGAAGTCTAGTCTGCTTACTAGATAATAGTAATATATTTTTATTTATGTATGTATTTAATTTTGATTTTAACAATCTGTTGGGGATTTTTGTTGCTGATTCTGTGAGATTAATGTATTTTTATATTTCCTTTAATTCTCAAAATAAACTCTTTTAGGAAATTTTAATGAAATATATCACTGCAGTTGTCATATAATTTGTCTTTAGAGGACAAATTAAATGATTAATCCAAAAACATTTGTTAAGGAAGTGAGGAAAAAAGTTGGTAGGTAAGTTCAGATCAGGTTATTTCTGTGTTTCTGCAGTTGGGATACACCTATTACATCTTAATGAGCCTTTACTTCTAGTTGTGAAGTTCACTCCACCAGCATAAAAATACTTGTGCTGTTAGTTTATAAATACAGAAATTTGCTTAAGTAAAAAGAAACCCGTATTTACTGATTTTTTTATACTAATATCTGCAAAATTTTCTGCTAGGGGCGTTTGTTGGCACTAGAATTCACTACTATATGTATGTAGTCCGTCATTCTTTGTATATTCCTCTTGAGTAGAAGATAACTACTATTTCTTTATTCTGTTGTTTGCTGGAGTAGATTTCAAGATTGTTCTATTTTAGCCCCCTAGGCATTATATACTAGGTCTAGCCTTTATCTCATTTAGTGACAGATTTATTTTTTATGTCCAATGACATTAAGATGTCCCATAATCTAGTGGCATTCTGTGTAAGGTGCTAGAAATCAGTCTGCATTATACGTGATGTGTGGGAGTGAATGATCATTAGTTTCTCATGACAGAAAACCATGTTGATGTGACTGCAGGCCCCCCCAATGCAAAGTTTTTAAGATTATCTATTATATAAAAAGTAGATAAGTGGGTTAATGGTTACATGGAAGTTTAGCAAATGTTTGTTTTCCCCAAATGAGAAAAGTTAAGATTACTTCTGCATAAAAATTCAGAAAAGTAGTTTAATTTTTTTATGGAAGTTGAGCAAATTCTTGTTTCTGCCAGTCCTGGAAATGTCAGGCCATTGACAAAAATGGCAACTTAACTTGGGCAAATTTGATAAATGCATTAGCATACATCAGTCTAGTAATAAGGTTCTCATGCTCTCTCTCTCCTGTTTTTCATTTCCAGTGTTCTATTTAGGTGAGTTTTTGAATTCTGATTTTTCATTTAAGTTCTTCCTCTCCACTTCATGAATAATTACCCCAAAGAGAATGTCTCATTGTCTTAGAAAATGTCAAGCTTAGGTGCCTATTCAGATGCTCATTGAACACTTGTTTTACTCAAGCTCTTCATATATAAATGTTTATTTTTCCTTTTATTGTTGATGTTTTCCATTTGTTTCAAGTAAGCCTTCTGGAGGTGATGACAGCATTATGTTGCAGTCTTTCATTTGCTATGTGTTATGTAAAGCTTACATTTTATTTTGCTAGACAAAAAGGAGATACATTTGTAAATATGTGATGGTTTTATGTTTTTCTCATGATTTTATCTCCTCCATCCAGCTAGATATAAAGATAATGTTCATCTGTAATATTTTCCTCCTTTTATAGGGCCAACATTGCCTAGACAAAATTCACAACTACCTGCCCAAGTTCAGAATGGCCCATCCCAAGAAGAAATGGAAATTCAAAGAAGGTAAAATCATAAGTTATTATTTATACTTTTTCTTACTACAAAAGACCGAACTGTGAAAATCCTAATGTTGAAAGCAGATTCTGCCTTGTTAGCTGTTTGAAAGTTAAAACTCCTGTCTTTTTATGAGTAAGTTATGGAATCATTGTTACTATAAATGATTTGATATTTGTTAGGCTGCATACAAATGTTAAGAAATTTCATACCTACTTTTTAAAAAAATATGAAACATTTAAAATATTTGAAATAAACTAAACAGCATATGAAACGCCTACACTTTAAGAATTCTTATGTTTATAATATTTATAAAGCATTCTGTGGGTAGTTTGCCTTCCATACAACTTAACTAGGAAGTTAAGATGGCATTGGCTGGTTCAATAAGGCATTGATCTTGAGATATTGACATAGAATTTAGTGGTAGAATATGCAATCATTCTGTTTGACTACATACTGGTTTAAATGAGGTTGATACATTATCTTCATTGTGTCTAGAAATACACTTTATTATAATATAGCCTCATTTAGGGGTGTTTTTTTTTCCTGAGTTGGCAGTTGAAATGATAAACTACTTTGTAACAGAATAGTTATATCAAATTAAGCTAAAATTAATCTAATCAAACCAAATGTGTAGTTTTTAGAGAAGCTAATGTTGCTTTTTATCACTAGTAGATCACTGTTGTTATGTTGGGTTTTAACCATAGTTAGATGGACCATTGGATGAGTGTAGATTAATTTTCCCAGGTGAGAAGCATTTGCTCCATGAAGACCTTTGATTTGGATTTCACATGTGAAAACATTCCAGCAACTGATAGAAGAGATCTCTTGTTATTACTTAGTCAGTTGCTTTGGGGTACATCTACTTGGCTCTCTAGTAGCTCCCAAAATAAATTTTCTTTTTGCTATAAAGCCTATATATGTGTATATTCAGTCAGATCACTCTAGAAATAGCATCAAAATTTGGCAAACAGCCACACAACTCTTCTAAGTGATGCTCTGATAGTTATAAATAAAATTGTTTCTCTAGAAATAAGGTAAGTTTAAGGGATATAATTCCAGTTTCCCATTGACAATTTTAAAAATACTAGAATTCCAAGAGATAGAAATTAAAAAATGATTCTGTTATGTGTGTACACATGTAAGATAAAATAGAAACGTAAGTAATGAAAAATGATCTTAGTATTGAGTAACACATTTGAAGCTAATATAGAAGACATCTAGAAGGAATAAAAAGCATAGGAGATAATCTCTGGGAATGTAGAATAGGCAAGCAAATCATTCTTAAGGTCAGGCCATTACACGGTAGAAACAGAAACTACCCCTATCTAAGGTTACTTCTGACTTAAGAGTCAGATGTGTTACCCACTGCCCACAGGGTTGTCAAGAACACTCAGCTTGCAGTTTTAGTTGGAAATGGATATTGAAGGAGTTTAAACTAATTGCTATGAAAACCCCATACCTCATTTAGATTACTTCTCCTGTTAAAGCCCTAGCAGCCAGAACTCATCTGTGCTTGAGATTTTTACTTCTAAACAGTATGAAAATAATTTATTTTAAATTGGGTGTATTGTTTGCATTATTTATTTGTTTTGTTGAAGATTTTAAGTTAGTCATCTTGAAGAATGAAAATCAAATTTCTGAAAAAAACTCTGTTATTTTCAAAATTATTTCTGGGGCTAATGTTGTAGTACAGCAGGTAAGGTTGCTGGCATCCAAATCAGAATGCCAGTTTGAGTCCCAGCTGCTCTGCTTCTGATCCAGCTTTCTGCTCTTGTGCTGAGAAGATAGCAGTTGATGGCCCCAGTCGTTGATCTTCAGCCTGGCCCAGCTCTGGCTGTTGCAGCCATTTGGGGAGTAGATGGAAGATCAAGATGGAGTGGATGGAAGATCAATCATTCTCTCTTCCTCTTTCATTGTGTCTTTCAAATAAGTAAATAAATCTTGTTTAAAAATTATTTTCTATCCACAGACAGGCATAGACTCCTCTTTCTTTTTTGATAAACCTTGCATAAGACACCAGTCTGGTTTTTTACTCTCATTCTTTGTCTTTATTCTCCAGCTATTTCCTGTTAAGTCTTATGAAACCTGTTTCCACACATCCAGTGGACATGCTGCTTCCATGTCCAGCAGACTTCTAGGTTAGATTTCTTCTTTGGCCACATCTGCCACTTCCCTGTCTGTTTGGTACTGCAGAGTCTCTATTCCCTGTCTTTTTTCCCCCCCTTTTTCTTATGTAAGGCATTGCACCAGCTATTGTGGTTTTTTCCTTCTTTCTGTGTTTGGTAGACCCTTTGCAAAATGGATGATTTAGTTGGATAGTGAAGTGTTTTTTGTTTTAATTAATTAATTTATTTATTTATTTTTATTTTTATTTTTTTGAGAGAGAGAGAGACAGTTTTTATCTGCTGGTTCACTCCCTAGGTGCCTTCAGTGACTTGGGGCTAAAGGTGGGAACATGATTAATTGAGTCATCACTGCCTCCCTGGGCCTGCATTAACTGAAAGGTGGGATGAGGAGCCAGAGTTGAGTTGAACCTGGTACTCTAATGGGGGTTCCAGGTGTCTTTACTGTAAACACCTGCCCCTGAAGTTGTAACAGTAGTTTTTTGGTTTTTTTTTTTTTTTTAAGATTTATTTATTTATTTGAAAGTCGGAGTTACACAGAGAGAGGAGAGGCAGAGAGAGAGAGAGAGAGAGAGGTCTTCTGTCCAATGGTTCACTCCCCAGATGGCCGCAATGGCTGGAGCTGCGCCGATCCGAAGCCAGAAGCTTCTTCCGGGTCTCCCACATGGGTGCAGGGGCCCAAGGACCTGGGCCATCTTCTACTGCTTTCCCAGGCCATAGCAGAGAGCTGGATTGGAAGAGGAGCAGCTAGGACTAGAACCGGCGCCCGTATGGGATGCCGGTGCTTCAGGCCAGGGTGTTAACCCACTGTGCCACAGCGCCGGCTCCCTTTTTTTTAAAGATTTATTTATTTGAAAGGCAGAGTTATAGAGAGGGAGAGACAGAGATCTTCCATGCACTGGTTCATTCCCCTAAATGGCTGTAACAGCTGGAACTGGGCCAGGCTGAAAGCCTGGAACTTCTTCAGGTCTCCCATGTGGGTCCAGGGGCCCAAGAACTTGGGCCATCTGCTGCTTTCCCAGGTGCACCAGCAGGGAGGTGGATGGGAAGTTGAACAGCCAAGACTTGAACCAGTGTCCATATGGGATGCTGTTGTTGCAGGCAGCGGCTTTACCCACTGCACCACAACGTGGGCCCCAACTTAAATTACTTAAGTTACTTAAAAAACAGTAACTTCTATACTGATCACTTCCATATTTCCAGCTAGTGTTATGGACCCTTATGAAATTTGGTGAAATGGTGGACTATATCCTTCTCACATCCAGCCCCTAATCCTTCAGAAAGATACATAATTGCATACAAAACTTGTGCTGATTCAGAGAATCAAAAACCCCCGAAATTCCAACAATGGATCTTCAATGAGAATTCCTATTGTAGAGTTTATCCATTTGAGTATCCCAGTGCTACTTCAATTTAAACTCAGGATTTCATCTTTAATGTGCAGTTTTCTTTTGAAAGGAAGGGAGAGGGAAGAAGATCTTCTATCCACTGGTCTACTCTTCAAATGTCCACACAGCTGGGGCTGGACCAGGTTAAAACCAGGAGCCTGGAACTCCCCCCTGGTCTCCCACATGGGTGGCAGGGCCTCAAGTACCTGGGCCATCATCTGCTACAGGCACATTAGCAGGAAGCTGGATCAGAAGCACAGTAGTTTAGACTCCTACTGCACTCTGGTATGGGATGTGAGTGTCCCAGTAAGCAGCTTAACATACTATACCACAGTGCCTGCTACATCATGTGTATTTTTTTCTTCTTATTAATATTTCTTTATTACTGCTGAGTTAATTTTTCTTACACTCTTTTTTCATATAACATAGAAATGTTAAACAGTGCAGAGGAACATAAAATGGTGGTAAAAAAAAATACTGCTACATGATGGTGCCTTTCCCCTCATTCTGATGCTCAGAATTATTCACTTTTAACCATTTCTGCTTTTAGTGATGCTAGTGACTTCATGCATAGCTAGTTTGCTTGCTTCTGTCATTGATGTTCATTGGCTAGCCTTAAATTTACCTGGTGTCTCTCTCTCTCTCTTTTTTTTTTTATAAGATGCTGTGGTTCTTTCTTTCTTTCTTTTTTTTTTTTGTGTGTGTGTCTCTCTTTTTTTAATTATTCTTTTTTTTTTTAAGATTTATTTTTTGCTGATTTGAAAGGCAGATTAGAGAAAGAGAGCACGCGCGAGAGAGCTTCCATCACTATTTCACTCCCTAAATGGCCACAATAGGCAAGACTGGGCCAGGTGGAAGCCAGGAGGCAGAAACCCAAGTTACTGAGCCATCATTTTCTTTTGTTGTTGTTTTTGTTCCCAAATAAGTTTATTTTCTTTAAAAATCATATTAGTAGGGGCCGGCACTGTGGTGCAGAAGGTTAAGCCACTGCCTGCAGTGCAGGCATTCCATTTGGGCGCCAGTTTGAATCCCAGCTGCTCCACTTCCCTTCCAGCTCCTTGCTATGGCCTGGGAAAAGCAGCAGAAGTGAGCCATCATTTACTTTTTCCCTGGCACATTAACAGGGAGCTATATCAGAAGTGGAGCAGCTGGGACCAGCAGGCATTCCAAATGGGTGGCTTAATCTACTGAGCCATAACACCCGCCCCTTGCCAATTTTCTTAGCCTTGTATCCAGAACCAGCACTATTTAGTGGAAACATAGTATGAAACTTCAAAAAGTTTATGGAAAATTGAATTAAAATATAATGCACATTTTTCACAAAGTTTTTGAAGCTCTTTTTGTGCAGTTAAAATTTTTCCATAGTCGTATTAACAAAAGTAAAAAGATACAGGTGAAATTAATGCTAATACTGTTATTTAACCCAGTTTGCCCAAAGTATTGCCATTTCAGCATGAAATGAGTAAAACCATTAAGAGATTTAACATTCTATCAT